TTTAAAATTCGAATTTTGAAAAGTTTTCTTTAAGTTAAATTTTTTCAACAAATATCCATCTAATTTCAACATAAAAGATATTATATGAAAGGCCAGAATTAGGGAAATAAATGAAAAAAATTTTGATCCAATTTAATAAATTAGATCATGAGTTATTAGCAAATAAAAATTTATTTAAAAAATACAAATTTTTAGGTGGTTGGATACTTTTGGCAGGGGAGTGTACTTGACAACATGTATCTGATAACATTATTTTTTCTATTAAGTATTCTATGTGGTATACAAAATGAGTTCTCAAGATGATATTAATTAAAATTGGCAGAAAATTGAAAAATGACGACACGCGACTGAATGTATCATTAGATATATTTTTTTACCCATGTGACTTAATACATAAAATGTACCACCTTGGTGCGTGGCCTAAAAAGCAAAATGCACGTCAGTCGAGTATGGCCTAAAAAACAAAACACATGTCACATTGGCATATATCTTAGCGGCTCTCAAGTGATGATACAAATGTAACCTATATGGCATCCGATGTGTAGACTATAACTGTCCCAGGTGTACGGCCTAAAAAGCAAAATGCACGTCACTCGAGTGTGGTTTAAAAAGCAAAATGCACATCACACCTGAGTATATTATAGTACAATCTAAGTAGTTTATAGTTTCCTGAAAACTATAAACTACTACTAACATACTAAAATACAACATTCTAGTGTATTTAAGTACAAAAGAATTATTATACTGAAAAGGAATTCCAATTTTAGTTGAATTGTAATATAGGATACAATAGGATAGTCAATTTTTCCAATTTTTAGCAAATCTATAATATAGAAATTATCATTTAATACAGTAATTCTTTTGTATTTTACTAGTGTTATTTGAACATTTTGTACTTATAGCATACTAGAACACAATGTTCTAGTGCATTATTTGAACATTTTGTACTTATAACATACTAGAACTATATTTGTACACAAAATTATTTTGGAGTCCCGAAATTGTTATTTCAGAAAAAAAAGTTAAAATAGTTTTTCATAGAAGATGAAATTATTTTACTTAAAATCTGAAATTTTTTGATCACCCAGATAAATTTCTTGACTAAATATATATTTAACTAGATATTTTTTTTACTTCCATATATAAAATAGATTCTGAGTAAATTTCAAAAAGATGAAATATTCCAAAAATCAAAAATCAATTTGAAACATGTATAATTAGAACACAATGTTCTAGTGTGTTATTTGAACATTTTGTACTTATAACATACTAGAACACAATATTTTAGTATATTATTTGAATGTTTAATATTTATAGTATACTAAAACACAATATTTTAATACATTATTTGAATGTTTTGTACTTATAACACACTTGAACATCTCTATATAATTCCTGATGAATATTATATAAATTTAACCTTATTTAATATATAATTTACCATTTTTACAAATGTAATATTCTACTAAAAGTAAACTGAAAGATCACAGTATTTTTAGAAAGATGAAATACAAATACATTTCTATTTAACATTTCATTTAATTCTTTACCATTACTAAAAAATTTCTTGAATTCTAGAAAACTCAACTCCTTAGAAGATAACAAAGCATCAATTATATTTTTCCTATTTCATAATATTGATCACCTGGAAGAAGTTGTGCAGATCTAAATTTGTTTTCAACTTCACTTAAAATTTTTTTTAATGACTATAGAAAAAGAAATAAGTAATTAAATCTTAAATAAGTTATATAAATTAATTTAATATAAATATTGAAACCAATTTTTACTTTCAAGAGATTTTTCAAATAATATCAAATCATCTGCAATAGATTTTACTTTAGAATATGGCCACTAACCAATTCATATATTTTTTTGCTTCCACTTCATTAATCATATGTTTCTTAATCAGATATTTTATAGATTCTTTCTCACTGAGGTCAATTTTTCTTGCATGTGACCAAATACTGTGAGCTAAAAATAAAAATATCAATTAGTAATTCATTCAAAAATATCAAAAAATATTGCATTCTTTGGAAAATTGAACTTGCACTAGTAACAAATACAAAAATATAATTTTCATTATCTACACCCTTTTTAACTTCACCCTAAAGAGTATTGAGGATTATTAAATGTTCAGGAATTAATAAATCAATATTGTCATAAATAATAACTGGAGGAGGCTTTCCATATTTTTTATATATAATGTAAAAGCATACTTAATAGCTTTTAAAATTCTCTCTCACTTCTCTAGCTTTATTTGTTCTATGAAAAAATTAGAATCAAAAATTTTGTTATTAAAAATAATATCAAAAATAATTAACCTACCAGCTGAAATATGTTCCTCAAATGTAAAATTAAAGGCATTTTCCAATACATCTTGTCCAATTATATTTGACAACACTTTTATTAATGTTGTTTTTCCAGTCCCATGTTCATCACAAATCACATAATAATTTAATACACTTTTATTTGGCAGTAAATTTCAATAGGCAATGATTAATAGAGGATTTTTGCATTTATTACATTGTTTTGACTTCACTCACGATTTGCAAAGCGTAGAGTGATTTTCCATAAATTTTTCACGGACGTTCAACTTTTAAACACGAATATCTCCACGAATATCGATGATACAGGAATGAAATACATATTATATTGTAGCCAAAAACTAGGGCTTTCGATCCATCTTAGAAATACCTTGGTAAAAAATCGCTCTCTGTCGCGTAAATCGTGAGCAAAGTAAAAAAAAATTTTTTTGTAAATGACATGTATTACGTAAATATTACACTCAAAAATTTCCTGATGTAAATTTACTTTTTTAATATAAATCTATAATATTATTATTAATACATGTGCTATAAATCAAAGTTAAAAGTGGTGAATTAATTTTGGAAGCCACTGTAAATAAATAAATATAAAGAATATAAAGGATAGAATAAAATAAATCTTGACTTACCATTAAATAAAAAATAAAATTTGACTCACATGTCTATTTAAAAATCAACAAAATGACTTGAAAAGTTGACTAAAATATATATATAACTGCTTGGATGACATCACAAAGGTTTTTTGATTACTAATAAAATATACTTATTTATTTCCTGAAATCAAAAAGTTTTTTCTTTATAAATGTCTTGGTAATAACTGTAATGTCATATACATTAATTCTATTAATTTCTTCAATTTATTAATTTATTAATTTTATTAATATTCAATCTTAAAGATTTTATATAAAATAAATTACTATTATTATTATTACCATTATTATTATACTAAAACTGATTTATTATTTTTATAATTATTATTTTTATAATTATTATTTTTATAATTATTATTTTTATTTCTCTTTATAACCCAAACATAAGTAATATCCTTCAGTTGATTTACTATGAGATGCTTCTGGTTTTTCATGACGAACTTTTTCAAATTTAGTTTGTAAAAGTTTCCTAAATTCCATTTCTTGACCTCCCATTAGGAACTATTAATTATATTAATTATATTAAATTATGGATAAATTATGCATAATTATATTACATTATGGATATTATTAAATGTATTAAATGTTGTACCTTGCATAAAAAAGTACCTCCAGGTTTTAATACTTGTTCAGAAAATACAAATGATGATTCACATAATTCCTTTGATAAAATAAATTAATAGAGATACTTAATAATAAGAGAAGAGATATAATGAGGAGAGAGATAGATAGATAGATAGATATTTACCATAGATCTAACATGATCCACAAAATGTGTTCCCGTAAAATTAGGTGCCATATCACTAAGAACTGCATCAACTTGATTTTCTTTTAAAATATTTTTGATTTTTTCTTGAGTAATTGAATTAGTAAAATCTCCTTGAATTATATTTACTCCAGGAATTGGATCAATATATAATAAATCAACTGCTATTATTATACCATTATTATCTCCAGTATTATTATTATTATTATTATTATTATCTCTAGTAGTATTATTATCTTGTGAATTTAGATTATTTAATTTTTTTAATTTTTTTACTTTCTTTAATTTCTTTGAATTCCTTAAATTATCTTCTTCTTCTTCGGATTCATTATTATCATCAACTTCATTGTTATCATCATTATTATTATTATTGTCATTATAAATTTCAGGAAATAATTTACGCGAAATGTATTGACTCCAACTTCCTGGTGATGCTCCACAATCTATATTTATTGAATTCGGTTTTATTATATTGAATTTTTCATCCAATTCCGCTAATTTATATGCACTACGCGCTCCTATTATTGTTGTTATTATTTATCAATCAATCAATTAATTAATTATGATGGCAATAAGGTAAAATAAAATATTTTTTAATATTTACGAAAATTTTGCATCGATGCTTTTTTTGAGAATTGATCTCGTTGTTGTCGAGCAAGCCACCTTTTTGACGATGCCGAACTTGCATAATGACGATGATGATTATTACAATAACAATTATAATGTTTTATATAATTAAATAATATTAATTTTAATATGTTTGAAGAAGAAGAAGAAGGATAAATGTTATTAATGTTTAACTTCATGGTATAATTTATAAACTGTTGTACAATACGTAATTTTATTTTACCGATAAAATTTTACTGATAATCTCGAATCAAATTTTTTTTCTGTTACATTAAACAGGTATTCACCCGTGATCGACTCACGTTTTTTAGTTAATGTAAATTTTTACATTTACGTGGATCGTTTATCTGTTTATAGAAATTATCACTTCTAATGCCTTTGAAAGTTATTTATTTTTTATCGCATCACGATTTCTTTGCAAATTTCATTACATATTCCTTTGCACATTTCTTACATTTCTTGGATTTTGTTCGAATTTTACTGCGAATTTCTTTGCTGACTTCATTACAAACTTCTTCGCGAATTTCTTTACAAAATTTTTCTGAATTGAACTCTAATTCGGTAGATTCCTTAATATTTTTATCTGGTTTAAATTGATTTTTATTATGTTACAGTTTCTACTAGGTTCAATATGCGAAACAATTCAGGATGAAATATAATTACCTAAATTTTCATCACGTTTTTCACTTCATTAGATTCGTTATGATAACATTTTATTGAGGGGTAGAGGTCCAGAATTTCGGCTCCTTGTTAAGAGGTTGACCTATTATAGAGCACAAATCAACTTTCCGTCTTAATTTAATCTATTAAGGGAAGATAAAGTGTTGTCAGACAAATATTTACAAATGTAATACGCAATTAATTTATCTCTAAATTCTAAGAATTTTCAATGTATGGCCAGAGATCCCTGTCGCTTTTTTCATTTTTAAGTTGAAATGAGAAAAAGAATATTATTATTAGTTGCATTCCAGCAACAGAGCATGTTTTGATCTACTGATAAAAATCCTTTTTTGCAGGAAAAATATTCAAACACATATGGGGAACCCAACTCCGATGTTCTACCACGGATTCCACCGCTCGGAGACCTTCAAAGTCACCCAAATATGCTCTGTACCGGCGGTATCGTACCACGTTTTAAACCAGCTCGGATCGCCTATACTCTTTTATAGCAGTAATATAGAAGTTACAAAATACAAAACAATACATCTATAACCATTTTTCTGACAGCTTCTAAGAATAAACAATCCACTTATGGAGACTACGTTCCGTTTCATTTTTTGACAAAAAATCGTATATTATGCATTACTAACTTGACACGTTTCATATATATTTTAGAAATTCAGACACTGGCACAGTAGCGATGTGATTAAAAGTTAAGAGAAAACCAAATTCGGGCAAAGAATATGCTAAGCAATCAGTTTCTTAAACTATCTGTTATATCATATGCATAGAAAATTTCATCTCGAATAAAGAAGAAATCCAATAGAATAGGATCGGGGAGAATATTTTGAGGAATTTGTGTTGATAGTAGAGACAATTTAAATAAATATTGATGAGGCAAACGCCTTGTGAAATATTCAACAGATTCCAAACTCAAACCAATAATAATAAACCATTCAGATTAAAAATTTTGAAAAATTGACAGAAAAGATAATTTTTTCTATAAATGGCTCTAGTTAGTCAAAAAATTAAATGTGAAGTATCAGTTGGAACATTTATTTACTTTTGATTAGAGGTACTGGAGATAGTGGAGATAGCGCGCTCTCTACGATAGGATGTACTGTCATTATCATATTCTCACGAAGTTAAAAATCATACACCACTTGACTCGCGTCTGCTAATTCTGTTAACATTAAACGAGCTAGAATCGTAACTATCATATAAGGCTGACATCTTTAACTATTTTGCAAGTATGTGGGAAAGTTCTTGTAAGAGCAATCAATTGATATATCATTTTTCATACTTAATAATCGATAATTGACAAGCGGATGTTAAATTTTAAAAAAAATAGTTGCGAAGTTGATTTTTATTGATTTTCCTAATATGTATTACACATGTGACAAATTACTGTGATATGTTCAATGAATCAACTTCTGGACTTGCAAACTACTCTTTCGTACAGATTTCCTTTCCAATAACAGGTTAATATTGTCTTCATTTTAACACTGCATGTTTCGTATAGGTATAAAGCCATTTTTATTCTATCCGGATCATAATTAATGTTGAGATAATATGTTAGAATGGATAGTTCTTAGTGCAGGGAATAGTATAGAACAATAGATAGGTTTTTGATTTTTTTTTTTTCGATTTTTATTAAGCAATGTTAACACGATTTTTACCAATATTTTTTCATGTGATTAAACTTTCGAATATAATTGCGTTTTATGTAAAACAATGACAAGTACACACTCCATAACTGATTCATTGAGGGTTCGGCACGCTTTTGTGGTAGGATAAATTTCTCAGCTATTTCATTGCCTTAATTCTTCATTTTTTCTTCCGGAATTTCTTGAGAATTAGATATTTCCATATTTCTTATCAATGATGTGCAAGATTCAATTCGCGCCTGGCAAACTCTTCAAGAATTTCAACATTTTTGCCACAGTTAGGTACATGTTTGTTGCTTGCTAAGTAAGAGACATTTTCGATGAAAATTCTATTTTTTTAAGAAAAAAATTAAATTACATCATGGAAGGTATGGCCACAGAGTAAAACTGTGAATGCTTTATTGGGCAGGTAAAGAATTTCTTATAACATACTACGCATTTTTCTAACTCCGAATTATTATTTTAACTAAATCATTGTTTAAAACTTTTAGAATATTGTACGCTGAATTTGAGATTATTATCCGGGTATCAATTTTTTATACCTATGACGTCACACGTGATGAGCAAGGTGACCGATAATCGCTCAATGCAGATCATTCGGCATAAGTCGTCTTAAATATTACGATAGCGATTTTTTTATGCTAAAAAATGAAAACCAGCTTCAATATTTTGCTTTTTGTTACGTTTCTTCTATTCTGTACCGAAGCCCAAACAGAATATCCAACTGTAGTAGAATATTGGTGCGGCAAGCCTTATATTCCAAAAAATAAATTTTTCAAAAATATTCAACATTTGAGGCGAGACATTAATCAGTGCAGCAAACGTGCAACATTTGACTCGACAAGCGAAGATAGTACAGGTTATCATGACACTTTTTCACCAACGAGTCCCTCAACGATTAGGCTTCCGACAACACGTGATCCAATCCCTTTCGTGCCGAATCTGAGCAATGGATATACCGCTATGTTTCAAAATCAACCTTATCTGAGTACTGATTCGATTGGTTCATTAATGGTTACTGTGACCAATACTACCTCGACTATTGTTGTCAAAGCATCATTAGATGATGGAACAGAAATACTTGCGGCAACTAGAATCAACATTGAAGAAAATGTGGTTAAAGTAACTTTTTCACTTGCAAAGATCGTACCAAAATTGAAGGCGTACAATGTTAAGATTTCATTCTATACTGAGTTTGATGGCATATTGGTTCATATTACATATTCAGAACTTTATTATCTTCCTGCAGGTTAGTTTCCCGTTCATCATTCATGCTTAATAAATTTTTCTGAAAAAATATCATTTTTAATTATTAGGCCCAAAGACTGTCAAGATCGATCGGCTATACGGTGGAATTTTCACTTCAACAAATGAAACTATTTTCCCCGTCGGTCCATATGTTGATGTTGGTGGATGGTTGGCAAAAGGTATAATTTTTTGTATTTTCATCATGAATTTTCGTTAAATTGAGGAACCAGTAAACCATATTTATTGGGATAGGAAATATTCGAGCCAATATTCAGACCCTCAAGGATCTGAATTACAATATCATTAGCCCCGACCCACCATACCCAAACATTTCATTCATCCATCAAATGTTTCAAGCTGCTGACATAATAGGCGGAATTTATATTCAATATTCATTTCGACATGATTATACTGATACTCAAAAAGTTATCGACCAAGTAAACCAATTTAAGAATTATTCAAGTTTACTTACATGGCATATAGTAAGTCTTGTCATTACTAATCATTTGAATTTTGTAATTATATAACCAGCTTACCTCTTCTATGTTTAAAAATTATGTCACTTGGAGGCAGATGAACCAGATGGTGTACATTGGACAAATAATTCTGCAGTTTTTGAAGCATATGAAGTTATAAAAAGAATGGATCCGTATCATCCAGCTTCTCTGGTGTTAAACTGCCAACATAGTGCTGCTTTTTATGCGGATAGTACTGATGTATTGATCGCTGGTACGTGTTTACCTATTGGTTTATATTCTAAGTGAAAATCATTAACGATATTCTATTAGATGTTTATCCGATTGGTATCAACACGTACCACTGCACTGAATATAGTGGTGTATGCGGCTGTGATAATTGTGTTGGAAATTTCTCCCTTGATATCCCTAAAAGAACTCAAAAATACATGGCAGATTTGGATCTCATTGGACGTGGATTAATTGTGAAATGGATGGTACTCCAAGCTTTTTATGATCAAAATTCTTGGTGGGAGAGAACACCAACTTCTCAAGAGATCAGAGCCATGTGGTATATTTCAATAATATACGGATATAAGGTATCTTTTCCAAAGAAATTGGATTCCAATTTTATTGTAGGATTTTAGTTAACGTTAAATATCTATGTATAGGGACTCATGTTTTGGCGATTTCCTTTTATTCTCGAACATTCAACCAAAGATCAAATTACCAATTTAAGCAAAAGGATTAAAGATCTTTCATATTATATGACTTCGATGCTACAATTGCCGCCTTCTCATATAATTATCTCGCCCGATTTGAACATTTATGCTGGTGGATGGATATCAGAAGATCGGAAGACATTTTTGTTGATTGTGGTCAATGGTAATGAGGAACTTCTTATTAACTTTAGAATAACCATCAAGTATTTGATCTCTTTGGGTTTACTATATGGAGTTGGCGAAACAGATCGTGGAAAAGAGAGTCGAGTTTTCATTGAGAATGGTATATTTGAAGGCAATTTGGAGGCATATGAAGTCGGAATTTTTATTTTTGGAGAGAAGAAACCCATAAAAGAAACGTATGTTTGATATAACAATTTATCGGCCATTATGAGCTCATTCACTGAATTTCAGATGCCCAAAATAGCTAGAGAACAATCTTTATTGAATGAAGTTATAGGTTTACGGAATAATGGT